CAATTGCATTTGACTCCAACAGTTTCTTGAGTAAGGATACACGGAAGATGGGATGTAGGTGCGAACGTGCTGAAAGGTCAAGTTGATATGCCACCTAGCCAATTCATTCAAGAACCCGAAATGACCCAAAGTATCATGGGTCTAACTTATGTCAAGCCCACCGTGCCACACTCACTTGCTTATAAGGCCGAAAATGAAGAAACACCACATCACCATCTAGAACTCCACCTGGCAATGATGATTATCATAGACTGCCTTCATAAATTGTCGGGCACAGTGCAAATTGAACTTTAGCTCCTGTAAGATATCATCCATTTATTGCAAATGCCAATCAATAGAAGCTTTTGATATGGATCCTAATTAGTAAGGGAGAACAACTGGAGGGTCCCTCCCATAGAGAGCCTAGAAAGGCATTATGCTTGCTTCTGAATGAAAAGTAGAGTTGTACCACCACTCAACCCATAGGAGCCAGTGAAACCATTGCTTGGGGTGATCACCAACAAAAGAACGAAGATATGTTTCCAATCAACGATTGAGGACCTCTATTTTCCCATCACTCTAAGGATGATGCGTATAGTGTTGCAGCAGCACTCCTTGTAGCCTGAAGTACTCACAGCAGAAGTTGCTTACAAAGGTAGGGTCTCAGCCTGACCCAATGGACCTAGGTGTACCATGAAGATGGCCAATCACTCTAATGAAGACTTCAGCAAGAGAGGCAACTGTGAATGGATGAAAGAGATAACAAAGTAACCATACTTGGTGAACCGGTCAACCACCACCCAAATGACAAACTTCCCTAGGGAAGGAGGTAAGCCAGTTATAAAATCCATAAAGATGTCCTCCCAAACTCGTTGTAATAGGAAGAGGATTAAGAAGACCAACTGGAGATTGTCATAATTATGGCTTTAGAAAGTGTCATACTTAGCTAAAAGTCCCGAAAAGCCTTGGGCATACCCCTCCAATAATAATGTGGCAAGGCACCAGTACGTGTGCAACACTACTAAATGACCACTAGCCGGAGTTGCATGAAAAATCTACGAAAGCTCAAGAAGGTGAGAAGACCCAGGTGAAAGGGCAAGATATCCCTTGTAGTAGAAAGTGTCGTGTACAACTGAATATCCAGGAGAGCTAGAAGGATCCCAAGCCCATTGAGTCTGTATACTGGACAGAGTGGCATCAAATTGGGCCTCTTGCTTCAAATGTTCCAGTAATGGATATAAGGACCTATAGACTTGACCATATACACCTAGGTGACTAAGCAACAAGGCACCCCCTGGCCGCTTAGCCTCACCTTGGCACCTTCAAAATTATGCTATAGATCGAATAGGCTCACATGGAGACACAAGAAGTGGAAGACCCTAAGGACCCTCCTATAACAAAATGAAAAATCGGGCAACGAGAAGTGGAGGACCCTAAGGAAATTTCTGAAGCTTTCTTATACTTCTTTAAAGATCTTTACTCAAAGAAAGAAAACAGAAAACTATCCATAAGCTTTTGGGAAGGGCTTAAACTGTCAGAGGAGAATAGTCTATGGTTAGAAAGAGAGTTTCAAGATCAAGAAGTGAAGGATGTTGTCTTTAGCATGATGGTTTCCCAATTCTATTTTATCAGATTTGTTGGAGCATAATTAGTTCAGATTTAATGCAGGTGTTTAATGATTTCTATCATTCAGCCATTGTCAACAAAGGAAACAATTCTAATTTCATATGCTTGATTCCCAAGAGAAAGGGTACTCTAGAAGCAAAAGATTTCAGGCCTATCAGCTTGACTGGGAGTGTATACAAAATTTTAGCAAAGGTTCTAGCCGAAAGACTAAAAAAAGWCCTAGGGGAAATCATTTCCCCAAATCAGTTTGCATTTGTCAAAGGGCAACAAACCATTGACAGCATCCTAATAGCAAACGAATGTGTTAAAGAGAGGAAGATGAATGGCAAACCAGGGGTGATTGTGAAACTCGATTTGGAAAAAGCACACGACAAAGTAGATTGGGAGTGTCTCACAGAAATAATGAGATTAATRGGATTTGGAWACAAGTGGATTCAGTGGGTTGAGGGATGTATAAGCTCCACCTGGTTCTCAGTTCTAATAAACGGGCAACCAAAAGGATATTTTAATGCTAGCAGAGGATTAAGACAAGGCTGCCCCCTCT